CATTATCACAACCGAAGTAGTAATTGTATTTAGTCAACTTACATCATATCAGTCAAAGGCACATAACTCCTTATGACTTTAAACAATATTTACAATTGTCGCACACATACACACTAATATTTGAACCCACACAAGTGACATTTCACCTTGCAGAAATCAAACTATTTTAATTTCATAGACAAACCTTAATTACAAGCTTTCATACGCCAAATCACTGCATGGTCACTCCTTACAAATTTATCTCACTTATCACATTGAACAAGCAATCTTAAAATTCACTTTGTGTATATCAAACGTATAATAAATGCATGTTATTTGTTGAAATCTATAACTACGTTGTTTCTCCTTGATTTCTTCCAATTGAATTGCCTTCAAATGTTTGTTTATTTTATTTGTTGTGGATGAATGCTTAACGACCACGCACGTTTTTAAGCCTTCACACAATTTCACCTTCTGATACATCCAAATTAGCTCAAATTCCGCAACAACGGAATTATTACCGAAGCAATACCGAAAAAATATTTTCTAATTCTGACCCCCCCCCCAAAGTCTCCACGGCCCTCGTAAATGATGCATTATTTTCTGCTCTGGGACCCCTTTTCGCACAGACGAGTCGTCGCAAGCCTCTCGCTGCTTTATCGCTATTTCCATGGAAAATGTTCAGACGAACTACATTTTTTACTTCCATCAGTCCTAATCTTCACGTCTAAGACCCGCCATGCCAAGGAAATTGTAGTGACCCCCCCCTCGTTCAATTTGTGAGACGCAAATTCCACTTCAGCAGCTTCTTCCTATCAACCACTGTCTTATGGAGCCGACTCCCAAGAGGCTGCTTCCCCGATCACTATAATCTTAACCTGTTCAAGTCTAGGGTTAACCGTTGTCTTCCCCACATATCCGCATCAGCTGTGCCTCTTATTCTGTATCCCTCTACCTCAAGTGGCACTCGGGGCTTTATACAGGGTGAATCTAATTTCAAAAGAAGAGATATTATTAAAATCAAAGTAGTGGTGAACAACACAGATAGGAAAACAAGAAAATAATGGTTCAAGTAACTAGGGATTTATAGCACCAACCAGGCACAGATACATTCTTGGGAAATAAGTTGGTTGGTTGACTTTGGTTGGCAGCATATCAACCTCTGTGGGTTATTTAATGCGGAAATCTCAATATTTTGAACACAATTTTATGCCTTGAAGTACAGATAAAAAATGTTGGTCATTTTGATATAAAATGTGCTGATGGTAATTCTACTATAAATATATATTGAAGGTCATTTAGCTATAAAAACGTATTTTTATACTTTGCAAGTGTTTTGTTTTTGTTTAGGTGTTCACTATTTATCCATAGCCGGGACCCTAACAGATGATACCACTCCGGGTCAGTTACAACAAGTGACGATCATTTCATAATATAACTTTGCCGAACAAAAGTTCAGATATATAAGACAAACAAATATGTCCGAAATAATCGGAAGAAGAAGAATGGAACTATGGCAACAGATTTATTGCCGTTCCTCGCCATTACTTTTCAAGTCGTCATCTATGTTAGACAAATACTTGGGATATAGGATGTAAGTTTGTTCGATAGCTATTTCTAAATTCCTCTTCACATTGTTTACTTTAACAGTCCGAAGTTATATCGACTAAGAACTTTGCGATAAAAAGCTACAAGTCTTCATCGAGGAAATCAAACAAAACTACATGAAGTTTGGAACCAAATTTTAACGCTTCTTACATGCCTACAGTCATAAATTATTTCTAACCAGAATATCCGAAATAGTGCCTTTATACAAATTCAGCCCAATTCAAGATTTATAAAGACATTTAGTTACTCTTTGCGTTTTATTTCGTTGCTAAAATAGAATGGCTGGAGATTGCTTGCCATTTCCTTTTCGAACTGACTACTTTCTGTGAAGAGGTGATCGCTTTGAGAGAAAGAAAATATTCTCTTAAAATAGCTTACTTTATCTCAAATCGGATATTAGAATTGTTAAGATTAACTGCAGCTTGCGTTATATTCCAACATGATCGTTTTTAGTATTTATTTTGCCTTTTGTTTCTTGGTTTGTGTCTGTCACGCCCAAATCTTGTTGAACTCTCGTACATTGTAAGTAATAAAATATTTTTGGATCAGATGCTTATTTTCCACCAGGCACAGATTTTGGTGTTTGGGGTCAGGGAAAAAATCTAGGTTTTCGAAGGCTTGTTTCCAAAACAAGTTGACCATCCCATGGAAAACTGAAATTAACCGTTCTTCAGCTTTTGCGGTTAGTTCTGAACTAAGATTAACAAATGACAAAGAGGATTCTGTTTTATCTTTTTCGTTCGGGATTCAGTTTTCCAAGTTAGATAGAATTTAGGAATTTGAAGACTAACTTTTAAAGCAGGTAAGCTCTTTGAATTTGGAAAATTGGCGCATCACAATCTAGTTTCATTTGACACAGTACAAAGCTAAGATAGATACCTCTTGATAACATTAAAGACTATTAAATGTTGTTGAAAATAACTGATTCCTGGGCTCTCTACTAGCCCCTGTTAAAATCATGGTTTTACGGATTTATTTATAAGCTCACATCAATAGAAGCACTTTACCTCAGTGTATGTGTTTGAATTGAATAATTATTAGAGAGCTTCTTGTTACAGCATTTTGGCTGTTGTAAACTTCGGCCTTCTTTGGGTCTCTGTTTTATATTTTTCTTTTTCTTGCAGACACTATATCGTTTGAGGTTCAATTATTAATCTATCATAAAAATTCATAATGTGTAATTAATAAATGCTAAGCATTTCAAATACCTCGGTGTATGGATCAATAATAATAAATGTAGATAAGAAAACGGAACATAGTATAAGCATCAAGAGGGGTAGTTTTTCCCAACACTGCAAATGGCTACCAAACTAAAAGACTAACCTGAAAAACTCGAGTCATGTACTTAAACAGCCTCGTCAAATTATGACTTTCCTATCTTATGGTAGCGCTGACTGAAACGCGACCCTATAAGGCAAACGGCTCTAATAGGCAAACGGCCCTATAAGGTAAATGTCCCTATTAGGCAAATGGCCCTTTAAGGCAAACAGCCATATTAGTCAAACGGCCCTATAAGGCAAACGACTATAAGGCAAATAGCCATATTAGGCATACGGCCCTATAAGGTAAACATCCCTATAAGGCAAACGACCCTATTAGGCAAACGACCATATAACGCAAACGGCCATATTAGGCAAACGGTTTTATAAGACAAAGGAGCCTATTAGGAAAACAGCCTTATAAGGCAAGTGACTCTATTAGGCAAACGGCCCTATAAGGCAAACAGTTCTATTAGGCAAACGGCTCTATTAGGCAAAATACCCTATAAGGCAAATGACTCTATTAAGAAAACGGCTTCTATAAAGCAAATGTTGCTATTAGGCAAACGTCCATATTATGTAAACGGCCCTATAAGGAAAATGGCACTATAAGGCAAGTGGCTCTATTAGGTAAACGGCCCTATAAGGCTAATGGCTCTATTAGGCAAACGGCCCTATGCAGTTTTACCGTTACCATTAGAATTATCATTACCATATTAGTTAGTTATATATGGCCAAAATAATCTATAAAAAACCAGTCGGTGAAGAAAACAACCTGAAAGAATCGGCACATATGAGTTTGTCGAAATAAAGACGTATAAATAATTAAACCGTATATGACAGTAATCAGGAAAATTATTCTCTGCTAGTGAAGGCCTTCCATACATAGTAGATCCAAATTTCATATTTTTACGGCTTATCAACCCTTTGTGGTTATTTAAAGCAGAAACATATTTTGGATTGTAAGAACAATTCTTTTTTTTGTGAGTGAACATTACATGAAGTATTTTGGAGAATAAGAATGATTTTTTTTCAGATCCAAGACCTACTATTTAATCCATAGCAAGGAGAGGGATCCCTACATTTCCCAATATTTTTACTTGCGCATAAATGGTATAAAGCCTTCTGGAATTCGAACTCGGCTCTCCGATTTCTCGTTACACCATCCGCACATCCTATATATGGAAGAAAAAAAGGTTAATTCATTGATAAAAAAAAAAATAGGGAAAAGTTTCAAGTATCGTTTGATGACTTTCGGTTAGCATGAATATTTGTCATTCGATTCCATAAACTCATTAAAGTGTTTTATTCTTGAACACTTGGGAAGATTAATCAGAAATCCCCTTCCCACATAAAATAAAAGCAAAACAAAAGCCAGAAACAAAAACAAACATAAAAAAAAACAAAAAATTAATGTATTTACTGTCCACGTCTTTTGATTATTGGATGCAACATGGTTACAGAATACAGTAGAAACATATCAAGTAAGTAGTTTTGCTAAAATCAGATAAAGATACTCGTTTGAACATCGTGATGAATAGAACAGATTTTATGTAATTTTCTTTTCTCTTCTCTATCCTTTTCTTCTCTTTTTTATCACCTTGATGTTCAAAGCTTTCATACACACGAGGATAGAAAGTAACAATAACCCTCATTCATACCAAATTTTATACGCCTGATAATTAAGTACATATTATCATAACTAAAGTTTTCTAACTGATTTTCGTGACTTGGTATAAACAGGGTTGGTTGGAGAATCCATTATCCCAACAAATACAGCCCGAAAGAAAAGAAAGAAGTCACCAAATGAGGATTACGATCGCTGAAAATGCGTGCTATTGCTAACCAAAAAACCAGAAACAAGGTTACGCAGAGGACACCTAAAAAAAGAATAGGAATTTGTTAACATTGCAACCAAAAAACCAATGCACTACAAACAATTATATTTATCAACGAAGAAAAAGAGCAAATACTACGCACTTTAATGAAACTGCTGCTGTACCCACTTAAGTAGAACAAGACAAGAAAAAATATGGGTGAGTGGCAGGGTAGGTTCAAACGCCAACGTCGGCGACCTGTATGAAACTGGAGACATCTCTGTCGGAGCGAATCTTATAAACATATGAATGAAAAAGTAAATAAGAAAATAAGAGATTAATAATAGGACAAAAGAGAGAGAAAGAGAGAGAGAGAGGAGAGAGGCAACCGAGAGAGAAAGAGAGATAGAAAGTAAAAGAGAAAGTAAAGGAGAAAGTGAGAGAGGGAGAGAGAGAGATTGATAGAAGAAGAGAGAGAGAGAGATAGAAAGTAAAAGAGAAAATAAGGGAAAAGTGAGACAGGGGGAGAGAGAGGAGAGAGAGGGAGATTGATAGGGGAAGAGAGAGAGAATGATAGAAAGTAAAAGAGAAAGTAAGGAAGAAAGTGAGAGAGAGAAAGAGAGAGATTGATAGGAGAAGAGAGAGAGAGAGCTAGAAAGTAAAAGAGAAAGTAAGGGAGAAAGTGAGAGAGGGAGAGAGAGAGAGAGAAAAAGATTGATAGGAGAAGAGAGAGAGATAGAAAGTAAAAGAGAAAGTAAGGGAGAAATTGAGACAGGGGGAGAGAGGAGAGAGAGGGAGATTGATAGGGGAAGAGAGAGAGAAAGAGAGATAGAATGTAAAATAGAAAGTAAGGGAGAAAGTGAGAGAGGGAGAAAGTGAGAGAGGGAGAAAGTGAGAGAGGGAGAGAGAGATTGATAGGAGAAGAGAGAGAGAAAAAGAGATAGAAAGTAAAAGAGAAAGTAAGGAAGAAAGTGAGAGAGCGAGAGAAAGAGAGAGAGAAAGAGAGAGAGTGAGAGAGAGCTATCAGCCTCTTCTTTGATTCGCTAACAGAATTTCGCATTCCCCACCCAAAATTAACCTTAATTTCCGTTTACTTAATTATCTGTTATTACTCATTCGTTATCCCACAGTAGAAACCTTTAGCGTTCCTCAAATGGCTCGCATCATTTCTTGCTAATTTTAATATGAAAATGACTATTATTTTTATTGTTATATTTATTATTATTATTACTACTATTATTGCAGCACAGTTAAAATTACCTGTATGCGTGACAATGAAATTACTTAGAACGACTCGTAATTACATTTGATTGCTTTCGCATCCGATTGTATTACTTAATTGACAATGCGTTAGTTCCTTTGGGTATTTCTCAGCGTGATACAGTCGTCTAACCTACCTTATATCTAATTTAAGATATTATATTGTATTTATTCATATCGCTCCAGAAAACGTTGCTAAAGTATTCTATCTATATAGAAGTTAAAAAATCCTACTTCTCTAATAATCTAATTCCATTCCTAAGGCTTAACGAATTAATTCGATTGCCAGATGGTAATACGCAGTTTTTCAAGTACATAATGAAAAAAATGAACCTTTTGGTTACAGCTGATAAGAGCGCTACTGAGGTCGAAATGATACTCACCCACAGGTGAAGATGTAGGTACGTACTTTTAGAAAATTATTGATCTTAATGCATATGTTATCTGCCTGCTTTTCAGTTAATAACTATTGGATACGTCACCTGGTATAAGATAGTTCCCCCAGGTAAAAATGACAGATATATTGAGGAAGAGCAGTAGACCGCAATTCAAAATCAGAGACTCGCCACTGTTCAGATGTTCCAGAGAATAACATACTAGATTTATGGAAGATTGAAGTTTATAAGCAGTAAATTCGATCTTGCCTACCGAACGGTCCTTTGTGGCCAAGTCGGTTAAGGCACGTCAGCGTAAATGACGGTTCCGTATAGGATGCAGGTTCGAATCCTGTTAAAGGACGAATATTTTCTATGAAAATTTCTCGGACATTCAGGCCGATAAATGTTATTTAATACTGTTTATTATAAACAGAGCATTTACTTAAATACTTGTATCTATAAAAAAAAAATGTCTTTAATAAAATAAATTGTCGGACTTTGTCCATTTCTTAATATATATGAAAACGTATATCAATCTTACATGTTTCATTTTTATTAAAGCTTCGTCAGAGATTGAGATACGTTTACTATTTTTTCTTTTTTTTTATATATATATATATATATATTACGAATTTACAACCTGCGTCTGCTATTCTGCGACCGTTATCGTCGCAATACAACCGTCTATGTAAACATAACAGGACGTCATGTTTGATAGTGTTGTAATGTCCATATAACCACTCTGATTAGATCGGGGAACAGCATAGTAAAAAAAAAATGTTGGACAGTTTTTGTTTTTATTTTCTCCCGAAACTAAAGCCACTATACTGTTCCTTAATCTAAGCTTTCGGCTCAAATGAGCCATCATCAGAATGGTTATATGGACATTACAACAGAAATGTTCACTAGATTTAATAATTATCAATCTTGTTTAATATTTTCTGTTAAAATTGAAACAGTTTAAATTATATAATTTTACGTATATTAATTGCTAGTTTTAATAGCTAGCATTATTACATTATATATATATATATATATATATATATATATATATATATATATATATATATATATATATATATATATATATCATTGTTATTATTTAAAAATATGTTTTCATTGAGACAGAAATTACCATGTATCGGAACTAAAACTAAGCTTTTAATTAAACTTAAAACTAAAAAAAAAAACAAAACAAAATGATAAAATTTCAAATAAATACTAAAAAAAATAGTGATCCAGGAATAAGAATAAATAATAGTAAAGGAAAATTATTTAACTATAAGAATTCTATAAATTGTCCATTGAATAATAAATGTCTCACAGAATCTATACTTTACCAATGTACTATCTCATCTATTGAGAATCCCAATATTAAAAAAAATTATATTGGTAGCACTAAAAATAATTTTAAATTAAGGTGGAACCAACATCTGTCTTCCTTCAAAAATAATGTGTATCGTAACCAAACATCACTATTCAAATATTTTTGGTATTTAAAAGAAACAAATAAAACACCCATAGTAAAATGGAAATTATTAAAAAAACAGTACTTGTAGGTCTGTAAATGACCCATGAACTTTGTGCCTACATGAAAAGTTATATATTATCAAGTTTCTAAAAAATTATTATTAAATCAAAGAAAAGGAATAAATGTTTTTGTAGACACTGCATTATGTTTACTTTAAAACATAATTAATTAAAAAATTCATAATTATATATCATTTGAACGCAAATAAGTAAGTAAAAAAATATGCGTAATTAAATTTCTAAATTTTAAAATCTTAATTTTCACAATACCGTACCTAATATACTAATAAATGTAATAAATATAATATTTTATATTTTTATAAATAAAAATATAAATATTTGACTAAATTATATTTGAAGCCCCTTTAAAACAAACACAGTGTATTTTATAAAAATAAACAAGAATTCCAATATATGTCCCTAAAAACACAGACAGGATGACACGTCCTCATATAAGGAAGCCAGTATCAACAGGCAGAAATTACAAACCCACACCTAACCCTTAACCTATATTTACACTTTGCCATCTTAAATTAGATTTGTATCCTAAAAGCAACACCCTTTTAAAATGTTGTAATCGCTTTCCGCCTCCAACTTAAAATATATAATACTATTTAGCTTTAAAAAAGTAAATCATTTTTTCGAAAGTTATTCAACATCCATTAAGAATGGAACAAAAACTTTAATTTTAAATTTAATTTAAAGTTTCGTTTTTAGTTCCGAAACATGGTAATTTCTGTGTCGCAGTGAATAAGTATTTTTAAATAATAATATTATAATATATAGACACAATATCTTGAGCTTGTTTTGAAAATGAAACATTATATAAGGACATACATGCAACAATTTATTTCTTGTTAACTTTTAATATATTTCAACCTTGAAAATTGCTAAATCTATAGCCGAAAGCGATCGAAAAAAAAACAACATTTGGACAGTTTTTATATAATTTATCTACTGAAAAGAAAAAAAAAATATAAGATCATATGGGAAATTATATAAAAACTTACTCAAAGCACCTTGTCTGACATATTTAATGAAACTTGCAAACACACAGACACACACACACACACATATATATATATATATGTGTGTGTGTGTGTGTGTGTGTGTGTGTGTGTGTCTGTGTGTCTCTGTGTGTGTGTGTCCTTTGATTTCTAACCGAGCATGTCAATAGATTCGTCGCATATCACGAAGAGTTTTCATAGAGAATGGCTTCTCCTCTCTGGGTGGACGTGTCATGGCCGCAGTAATGCCACATGAGGGTCATCCTTCGATTTCCATCTCTAAGCGATTGCTTCGTGTGCACGAATTATTTCTCTTTGCTCTTGTGATTATTTGCAAGAGATACAATCGAAGATGTTATTCATCTACCTGACTTCATTAGCTTTCATTTTTCATATTTACATCACGTGAATATGCCTTATATGGCGAATATTCTGACAGTAAGGGAAGTTATTTAAGGACATGGGAATGGAATTATTATGAGAAAATATGTAGCAATAATCTCCTTCAATGCAGTATCTTTTATTGTTGTTCGTATATTACAAATAATACTAAACTATGGTTTGGCCCCCCACCACATTTACAAACAGACTCATTTATTTAATGATGAAGTAACAGGTAAAGACATGGTGTAGCAGCGAGGATAAAAAGAAAGGAGAATAAATTAAAGTTAAGGATTAAGAAGAAAAGAATCAGTACACAGGTTTTTGGAAATATATCGTATTTCTGTAATAATATATTTGACGGGTCAGTTGATGGCCAAAAATATCGCATAAAAGTAAAAAGTAAAGTTTGTGGCTGTGCATTTTCATTGGTTCAAAAATTGGCGAATCAGCAACTAACGAGATTTTCTTGTAAAAAGGGAGTTCCTCCATCAAAAATTATTCAGTAAGAATTTTCGTCTGGTAGAGAACACATGGCTTTGCACATGTTATGATTAGGAGCTCCCTTCACGCACTTACCTCTCTCAATTACTAACATGTATTCGGCATAATTTCAATACTGGGGACATTAAAAACAACCAATTCATACCATATGCGTTGTGCTCCTTTATACTACAAAATGAAACAAAGATAGCTGATATGACTTTCAAACAGAAACAGAGACAGTAGGACTGGTTTATTGACCTGAAGACTTCTATGGAAGGCAACGTAGCGTGGTTTCGAAACACTAGTTCGAGTCAAGTATTACCACATATTATATCGTGACAATGTCACGGCCTTGACGGCGTAGCTGTGAAATTATGGAAAGCCCGAACAGTTTTACCACGAAATGGTTGTCAAGTTTAGAAATATGGGATACTCTATTTCGGAGGTTCTAACTGATCTAAGTTTTTTCTTTTCTTTGGGCAACAGTAACAAAATCGTGAAAAGAATAATTCAAATCTGTACATATATATATATATATATATATATATATATATATATATATATATATATATATATATATTATTACGAACCTCATCCCACCTCCAACCCTATCGAAAGCGGAGGTAGAGGAGGATCGTAATCTGTGTTACTTTTCTTTAACATTTACATTTACTCAATTTTCATAAAATATATTTCTTTCCCAAGGGTCTCTTTGAGATTGATCAGACACGGCCGAACGGAATCGATTAAGGAACAAACACGATAGGCGACAAACAATAATGGAGACAGGGAAATATAAATTTATTAACAAACGTAAAAACATTGGAAAGATAAAAACAAAAACAACACCAAAAAAAGAAACAAAACAAAACAAAAACGGCCAAAACAAAGATGACAATATGTGAAGAATAAACATTTAAACATTGCGGACAAAATTGTGGGAGGAGAACATCCTCTAAGAAAGGTAAAATAAAGATCAACGTATGGCCTTGTGCCATAATTGCACGAATTTACAGAACATGTGCTATACTTGCACGAATTTACAAAACATTAAAATTTTAAGACAAGTAAAAAGAAACATGTAATGAAAAGATCTCATGCTAAATTTGCATGAAAGTACAAACAGGAAAAAGAAGTACATTTAAACAAAAACGAAGCACAAGAAAAACAACGAATTTATCTCGTAATAAAATTTCTTTTCCACTAATGTCTCTTATATCTTCTACTTTTCTTTTCTCTTTTTCCTTTTCTATTTCTTTTTATAAGCGTCTCCTTTTGAGGTCTTTTCTTACTCCCTCTCTTTCTCTTTTCGTCTTGTCTAGGTCTTGGCCGGCGATTAAGTTGAAAATACCTTTCCCCTCTCTTTCGTCTCGGTGTAGAGCATTCTCGTCTGGTGGTCTTTTCTTTCTTTCTTTCTTTCTTTCTTTCTTTCTTTCTTTCTTTCTTTCTTTCTTCTCCCATTCGTTCTTTGTTTAAGGGCTTAGTGACAATCAAGTTGAAACTACTATCTTTCTAATTCTCCTTCATCTCGGCGTGGCATCATTCTCCTTTGAGATATTTCCTTCCTCTCTTTTTTTGCCCCATAAGTATCTCTTTTTGAGATCTCTTCTCGCTTTCTTCTTTTTCTTTTTCTATAAGCTGCCTTATGTCTCTCTTTTCTCCCGATGTAGCGGCCTTCCGCATACGTCGTCGAACGGGTCCATCTATTCCACTCGGGGATGAATTCTCCTTCTCGTAATTTCGCGAACACGTCTTTTCAGCCGTTAGGCCTGGATACAACTCTCTCCCTCACCTGTAGGGTCAGAGAAAGTTTAGTTTAAAGTGTTTCAACTTTTCCTATCTGGAATCTATCCGTGTAAATAATGCTGTCAACGCGTTGACCAAAAGAGAAGAAAAGGGTACATTCTGGTTAATCTTTGTCGCCACTAAGTCTACCTATCTCTTTGGACTTACCGTCTTTACGTTTCTGCACGTACTGGGCTCTATTTTAGAATGCTTCTAAAATATAAGCAATAAGATGGGGTTCGAAACAATATGTATATATATATATATATATATATATATATATATATATATATATATATTGACTTAAAAGAACTGTATATATTTTTCTTAATAATTCTTGCGACCAACCTTCAGAAGGATTCCTTGGTATAACTGAGACGAGACAAGACGATTTCACAAGAAAATAGAAGAGGAGGAGGAAATTTATTCACAAGAAGTAAATTTTAGTAAAAACAATTTAGATGGGGTTCGAAACAATATATGTATATATATATATATATATATATATATATATATATATATATATTGACTTAAAAAGAACTGTAGATATTTTTCTTAATAATTCTTTGAATGGTGCTGTCTGGTCACCAACCCTTCAGAAGGATTCCTTGGTATAACTGAGACGAGACACAAGACGATATTCCCGTTTATGCAAGAAGTAAATAGTATTTGTATTGTGCTCCAATCAGTACATCCTAATTTTAATTGTTTTTTTTTTTAAATCGGTTCAGTCGCTTTATCCTTGAGTTTTCCTCGTACTTTGTCGGATGCAGTCATCGTCAATGAATGATTTTTATGTCCTGTGATACTTCAGGCTGTGGGTGATCATGATGCTCTGCAATGTTTTATCCATTTTAGCTCCTAGTAATGTTTTTTTCTCGTTGTTACGTGCGCGACAAAAGAAATAAAACATAGAGTGAAGGAAACGTAGTAAGAGGATCAATAAACGACAAAAAAACAACAACAAAAAAAAAAACAACCAAAAAACAAAAAAAACAAAAAACAAAAAAAAACGGTTTTATTATAATTTTAGGGATTATGGTCAATGGTTAAGAAGGGAAAAAAGGCTTACTGGCAAGGATTTAGAAATACTTCAAAATAATTTCAGTCAGGAATTACTGGCTTTGTTGCAGTTTTTTGTGTATATGTGTACTAGTGAGCCAGCCTAAATGAGCTGACTCATTTTATAGTTCACCAATAGAAGAGTTAACCAATCAGAAAGCTCGAAATATTCAATGCGACATGTATAAAGGCAGCCATTTTGTTTTTTCTCCCAAATTATCCTCACTGCCAACCTGATATCGTAGACTTAAAGAATTACTTAATAGCCGCTACTTTCTCTGAATCTTCACTGCCAAACTCTGATATTGAACACATTACGGACTTCACTGGATTCAATATTCGGAGACTACGGCAAATATGGTCAACAGGCTTTTTGTCGTACAGTTTACTTTTCAGGTCAGCGAATGGTAGTAAATGGATTCTTCTGAATCAGATTTCTACAACAACTGAATTCGCCAGCCAAGTCGCTTAATGTTGGCGCTAACCAGCGAATTCGAATACCCGGATTAAAAACCTCCATTTGAAACTTTCATCCGACTACATCAAAGACCTTTGAAATTTTATCTAAAATGACCCAGAACTTGGAGAAGTTTCTTTCATAAAAATAGATTCTCTTAACACCCACACCCACTCTCTATTGTGCCATTTATTTACAGACGTTCGTCAGATAGGTTACTCGCTCTTCCCTTTCGTCCCTCAATCCTGTGAGTGTCAAATTTCCAGATCATCTTTCCTCATTATGTGTCCCCAACATTTCAACAACATTTTCTGATTTTGTCTTTTTTATTTCCATTTTCTTGATAACCTCCTTGTTGCTAATATGCTCAGTCTATGCTATTCTCAGCATCCTTCTGTAGAGCCATATCTCTGTTGTTCCATGTCTTCATTTGGTCTGTGAAGAAATTCTCTAGCATTCACTTTCATATAGGAGGACTGATATTGTATAGTAGTTCAGTGCTCATTTTTTGTTTCTGAAAAAATCTCCACGTTTCTTAATATTTTGTTTAGCTTTTGGAACGTATTTCACTATTTCAATAGTGCTTCGGGTTTCGGTGTCATATTTGCTGTCAGCAGTTAAAACACTTCCCTGTTTAATTATTGTACTCACTTGATTCTGGTGTGTCTGAGTCGTAGCTCGAATCTTGGCCAATCTGTCAACAATCTCAACTTTCGAATCTTGGCCAATCTGTCAACAATCTCAACTGATGCTTAGTCCTTTCTACTCATTTTCTTTACTACATTAGGTAGAAGTTCCTGCAGTTTTCTTTCTGTGTCTGACGTCAAAATGTTGTCATTTGCATATCATATGTTGTTAAGATTTTGCTCACTTTAATAAATCCTGTTCGGACTTTTCAGATTGTCAAAATTATAAATAAATCACCAGGTAAATTGACTGACTTTATGATCATTTACAAACTCTACAGAATTTGACACAATTATACGAAAGTCGGTTTTTCTACGACAGTCAATGCATCCTAATCTTGATTGTTTTTATCACAACTAGAAAGACCATAAAAATTTCACGGTTTTCTTATTTGAATTTTCTAATGAATCTTGGCTCATTGCGAGTTCTATAACAATAAAATATCCGTATTTATCGTTAAATATTTGAGCTTAACAACCTTTAACAAAATATTACAATGACAATCATAAATATGAATGTTGGTCATTATTTTTAAGAAGTGGGTACAAATGAAAAAAATTGAAAGTGACAGCTCTTTACATTTCACTGAAACAGCCGTTAAACACTTCCATATTCATTTCTTTCTTTCATTTTCTCATTTAAATCAAGTAGCGTATGTATTTTATTTTTCTACGCGATAAAAACGGAATAGTCCCTTGTTTATGAGGTACTGTCAGGAGATGTTAAACATTTCTATCTCCCCTTCTTCCTTTCTTTCTTTCTTTCTTTGAAACCAAGTAGTTTCTTTTCTATTCTTTCTATCCGATCACAATAGTTCATTATTTATGAAATACTGGCAGGGCATAACGGTCGTGAAAACTAACGAAGGGAGGGACAAGCAGAATTATTATATTCCCTTCAAAAAGGACAAATAGTCGCACTACAACGACCAACAACCCGCCGATGGGACACAACAGGTCAGGTCATTGAAACCCTCCCCAACCACCAATACCGTATCAGAGTTGATGGATCAGGTAGAATTACCTTACGAAATCGCCGATTCCTCAGGAAACTGGATACACCTACAATTCCAGTTCCAAGACCTAGTGCCTTACCTGAGACCCCTACACCAGTGCCACAAACATTCGACGCTGGAATAACGTCGAACACTGCTCAGTCGTCTACAATAACACGGACAAAAACCCCTCGGGCATTGTCCAGACTACTTCCGCACAACCAGCCAGGTTTAAAGGAACTCATCCCTCCCCAAAGGCCACTACCCACACGCGATGGGGGGGGAGGAGATGTAGAATAACAATAATAAACAGCACTTACCGGTGTAAAGGTCCCAGCTAGCGTCCAGCTGGCAGACAAAAATAAAGCAGGTTGTAACTTAAACAAACCCTGCAAACTAACAGATGAATCAAGCTGGTATTTATATAGAAATACCTCCACTCAGGTACCAGCAGCCAATCACAGCCCAAGCAATGGACTATCCCACTTTAGCACAATGAGATGCTCTATGGCAACATAAATAGCTCTCTTTCTAAAGGTTGGATTATGGTTCACTTAGCTTGCTCCACAACTAAGTGTTTATCGTGATTTTTCTATACTCGGCTACTCTTGGGTTTTCCACGTATCTACACTATGCCTACTAATAGGATCCTTATACGACAGTATATGTGACATTTAGTTGCTTTATTTTGTCGTTCAGTTTGTCGTTCCTTCACTAATATTTCCCTTCAGTCTAAATGCACACTGCCTGGCTCAAAGATTGAACTCGCAAATAATTATATAACATCAATTTTTCGAACTAACGCTTTAATCCTCTTTAGGGGACAAAATCCTGAGTGGAGAACTTTGCCTAAACTGCCTGATGATGAGGTGCTGCTGTTGGCACTTGACGCGCTTAACACTGTGCTGACCAAAGTTTCTCTATTTATTATCTCCTGCTGCTGCTGGCGAGGTTTTGTTGCCATGTCTCTTTCAACAGAAATAGTGGAAACAGAAGAAGCAATAGGAAGAACTAGACGAGGTATCCGTAGACATGGTCATCAGAATGTGAACAAATCTACACGCGTACATTAAATAGAGCGTTCAGTTCGAAATTTCCTGGAGCCTATCTCGATCGACAAGCATCTGATGGAGGCCGAAGGCCCAACGACTGAAACGTCGTGATAACAACAACTAACAAAAGAAGATGATAACAATAGTCCGAATGTAAACAATGTAAATAAAAATAAATCTCCATCCCAGTGATTCAAACTATCGTAAGTGACAAGGTTCATTTTATGTCCGGTAACCGTCAAATTCATTAGACAAGTGTGTAATCTGTTAGGCTATATGGCCGAGTGGTTAGAATGTTCGCATTCAGACCATGGGAGCCGAGTTCGAATCTCACCATGGCCAAGATTTGTTGATGTTATTGAACAGGAGGGGTCGATTCCAGTTTGCGGCACCTTTGGAAAGTGCCTGAAAACCATACCAAGCCTTGGGAGTGAAATTGGATATCCGGGACACTTCGACGAAGTACTGGCACTAAGTCACAGGTCATCATGGCTGAGGGCTTGAGCGTCCTGGCCTTGTTCAAATTGTTGATCACGCTAGATAACACGCTCTTTCCCAGAAATTGTAAAAGTTACAGGATAAATCACAGGTAGGCTCTGTGGGTGTTGAATAAACACAAATGTGTCTGAGCAAGCGATTGCAATAGGGATTGGCTAGCCAATAGCATAGCTGGCCACTTGTATTCGAGTTGTTAGCTATACTATACTAATTTGTTAGGCTAGTTGACCATCAATCTAAGCTCGACACCGAACAACGTTAATGAATTTGTGGTTATATTCTATGCTTAAGTTTGTCACAGGTGCCCTATTTATTAAAATTGCTTTTGCCTGATAGGGAGCCACATGGTGAGGTGCATGGTAAAGTGAATTTGAACTTTAACAGGACAATGCTTACGTAAAGACGAGGCTCTCGTATTTGCTGAACGTTTTTATGAGCACACTTTATCGAGAGAAAGGCAAAATTATATTTTGCTTAACAATCTCAAACAAGAACTAAATATGGGATCAATTCGTCGAATTTATTGCATTGCGTTCTTCACAATCACCCCCACCCCCCAAAAAAAACTTTCAGCTTTCTATCAAAGTTAAGCTTTTGAACGCATCTGCTACTGTAGACGTGCTTACACATCTTTACGTGACTTATATTGTCTGCTGTCAAAGTATATGTATATTTTCAGGACACCTTGAAATGTCAGACCCCAGTGTTTGCACTATAAACAAACTAACGCTTAGTACTACCAAACCAGCGTAGACGTCTCGTAACATAACAATTCAACCTATTTTGTTATGCATTTTGTGACCTATTTTTATTATATTGTGTGTTTATTGGGGTGTTGTTTAGCTTTGTCTCTACCGTAGAGCAGTGGTCGACAACTTACGGCACGCATGCCACAAGTGGCACGCCAAGCGGTTTCCAATGGCACGTAGCTGCAAATGACATCACGAAGTCCGAACTAATAACTGCTACAACGCAAAGAAGATATTTAGCTGTTTTGATTTTAATATATACTGAAGTATATCAACTATATATTACAATATAAAATATATTGTAGAACAGGTGTATTGGACTTGACTTGTATAAAAATACGTCTGCTGTTTGTACACTGAATGATTTTAAAACCCTGAGTCGGTACATAGTTAGCAAAATGGTTGCCGATCACTGCCGTAGATTATACGATCGAAATCAAAATGGTGGTGCCTATGTGAAAATCGCCAGAAAAAAAGACGAAATGACAATAACAATATAACAATGCAGCAGTGAGAGATTTAATTACCTATGCGAACAAAATCTCGGTTCAGGACAAAAAAATGGTTTATATGGTCAAACGACCTGATTGGTACTATGGTTATCTGATTTTACAAATTTTCCCGCGTTCAATAAAAATGTTACACTAGAATCAGAAACATTTTAATTTCTTAGATTAGATAGCATTGAAAATGAAGAAAGTGATACACAGGGAGGTCAAGCGAACGGTTGACCACAGAAGCTATTTGACAACATTGTCTACTGTCTGAACAACATTTCCTAGCCACAGGATCGTTGTCATTTGCGGATAGATCGAAGTTAATTTCATTACTTCTTTATATCAGTCGACATGTAATCTGTCTGATGCTTAATTCTATGCACTTTGATGAATGAAGGAAGTCAATAACTTGTTTGTGATTAGTTTCGACAATTAATCAACCCTGGCTTCTCTCATTACTGTTCACTTCGTCCATTTGTTCTGCAACTCTGTCAGACGTGGCACGCAGTTACCTAATAGGATTAGGTACGCAAACTCATGTAGTCTGTCATGTTCGGATTTAAGATGTAACTATGGAAACAATCGTTCTCGGTTTAACGCGTTTTACGAATGTGTGAAGATCGACCATAATCGACACGGCGCCATGTTTATTTCTTATCAACTCAAAGTTCTTATTTTTTCTTTACTATTATATTCAATTTTCTTACTTATTCTGTTTAACAGTTGTTCTGTGTTATTTCATTATCTCTTCTTTACACATTTTTCTTTCGCATTTTCCCGTCATTTCTTCGTTTCTGTCTTTATACAATTTAGGTAGTTGCTTTTTTTTTTAATTTGCTAAATTCAGTGGATCTGCGCATGTTTAAAAGGGACGAGGCACCAAGATGGACGTCGGGACGCGCGGCTGTTTTGTAGGTTTAATAAAATAAAAAAAGTCGTTATAACAAAACATCTTGGAACCTTTTCATTTATTATGACATGCATTTGTGAAGTTATTACAGTTAATTAAATCATTCATTCACCTTTTCTGATTTGGGTTGATTTTTCCTTCCTTCTTTTCCCTTCCTTTCCCCTCCTTCCTTCCTTCCCCATCTCCTTTTCTTCATTCATTTTTATCGGATATTTCATTGTTAGAAGAATTTTCTTTCTTTCTTTCTTTCTTTCTTTCTTTCTTTCTTTCTTTCTTTCTTTTTACTTTTTCACATTACATATTTCCTTCTTCAATTATCCGCCTCCCCCCGGCCTCGGATTTCTTTGTCGGAGAAAGCGACTCCCATTTTTACTTCTTGTTCTCAATCTCGTCTTCATTCCTTTCTTATTGTCTTCTTTCTAATGTTGTGTTTATTCTTTAATTATGTTTCCTTCCTCCTTTAATTATTTACTCTCTTCACAATTTCTTCGTCTTCATTAATTCCTTTCGCCATATTCTTTAGATATAAGTTGTAGTTGTGAGTAAGAGAAACAGTCCATGATGCCAAATACGAGTTGCCGATACCAAATCAAGCAAAGTACGTGACAATATATGGGGAGCGCTTCAATAGAGGACGGTAAATGTGGCGCTGAAATCCGATGCTAAAAATTGTCTTCCAAAAGCTAAGCAAAATATCAAGAAATAGGAAAGTCTCGTTAGAAACAGAATGTGATGTCATATCTAATCTCCGATATGGCTGTGAATACTGGACGATCTCCTCGCAGATGACGATGTAGTTCTACAGAAGGATGCTGAGAATACCATGGACTAAACATGTGAGTAACGAGGACGTTTGAAGGAAAACGTAAACAAAAAAAGCTTCTACTTAGAATCAGAAAGACAACTGACATTTTTAGGACATAGAAAAGTGGGCTTGGAGAATTTGATACTCACAGGTTATACTGAAGGCAAGAGTGACAGAGAGAAACGGTTTGAAACTTACCTAACGAGGTTCTGCAAATGGTTGGCACAACAACGGAGTGGGAAGAATGGTGGAAAGATAACTCTTTACTAAGAGTTACCGTAGATAGGAAATTGTGAAGAGCCATGATCGCCCACGTCCTAAAGAGACAAGACACATAAACATACATCTTGCGTGTGTCACATATATTAAAATTAAAACTTTAGGCTAAACAATGATTAGTCAATATCACAGGTACTTAAGCGTAGAGCTAGGGTAAGCAATTATTTTTCAAATACTGTTATGTCTATTCCAGGTGAAAGACTACTCATTGAATCGTGACTTGGTACAGCAGAAGGCCGCAAACCTTTCAGATTTTAGTCAGGATCCAACTCACAAGACATTGTATATTTTTGTATCTAGGTTACTAACCAGCGAGACGCAAACTTAATGTTATATCAAGAAAATATCAATTATTGTGGCTTCCTTCGAACACGTTCATGTTGTAGCCTTGTCTCGAATGTAATCTTATCTGCTTTCATGGCAGCCGGGAATTGAGAATCAAGCCGTTGTTAATCGTCGACACGTGAATCGTTCAGCCATTTGTTTGCGGTAAATAATTTCTCTCTGCCTCCGTTATGCTTGTACACACCGATTTATTGCGATTAATTTGATAGTGAAAAGAAATTTAACTACAAAAGTTTACGGAATTTTATACATTCTATCTCTGAACTTCCGACTAAAAAATTATCTGTAAAAAGAAAATATGAATAAAAACAAAAAGTAAAACCTATTTTAATGTTAGTCGACTCGTTTCGTCCTGTGAGGGACTTTATCAAAGCAAATGTAAGGATTTTATTTTGCAACATGTATTTATACACAAAAGTAAAAACATCGATACTTTCAAAATAGAATCCTTACATTAATAAAGTACATCAGAAAACGAAACGTGTCAGGAAAGATAAATTTTACTTTTGTCTTTATTCATATATATATATATATATATATATATATATATATGTGTGTGTGTGTGTGTGTGTATATATATATAGTGGGGGCAAATAAATATTCGTACACATGAAAAAAACAAATTTTTATACATTTTATGTCTAAAGATACATTTTATTAAAAAATAGTAATAAACTTAATTAATTCTTATTCTAACAGAAATTAATCCATTTTTTCATTTTAACTGATGAAAAAAGTATTCGTACAAAACAAAAAAGCATATTAACTTAATTTAATACTTTGTGGAATATCCTTTATTGAGTTCAACAGCTTCCAGTCTATTCCTGTACGTCTCAACTAATGATTTGCACACATTGAGTGATATTTTATCCCATTCTTCTTGGCATATTGTTTTCAAATTCTTGGTATTTGTTAGTGCTCTTTTCCCAATTTGAATTTTCAAATATCGCCATAAATTCTCGATTGGGTTCAAGTCTGGGGATTGACTTGGCCATTGCAAGACATCAACGTTACTTTCAGCTAACCATTTCCTTGTAGATCTAGTGGTATGCTTAGGATCCTTATCCAGTTGGAAAACCCAATCAGGAGGTAGCCGAAGTCTCTCAACAGAACGCATTAAATTGTCTTGCAGGATTTTCTGGTAGCTTTCGTCATTCATCTTGCCATCTATTATTGATATTCTGCCAACACCTTTTGCAGAAAAACAGCCCCAGATCATGATACTGCCACCACCAAACTTTACAGTTGGCAACGTGTTCTTTGGTAAGTAGGCTTCACCGTCCTTCCTCCACACATGATTTCGATAATTATGACCAAACAACTCTATTTTAGTTTCATCTGTCCATAGTACTTTTTGTACTATTCCCCAAAACGTCTTCCTTGGGATGCGTGATTTCAGACTGTTTTGTGTAGTTCATTACTTATTGTACGCTTGTTTACTTTAATCTCTAATGCACACAGATGTTCCTGCAAATCTTCTTGGGTAACCTGTGGATTTTGTTGGATCTGGCGTCCTAATATCCTTGCTGATCTTCCCCAGAGCACCTGTTCGTCTTTGGTTTTCGACGCTGTTACGAGTTTTAAACCTTGCAATGAACAGTAAAAGGAATATTCAGGTTGTTAGAAATCGTTCTGTAACTGTTCCCATCTTTCCAAAGAGACAAAATGTGTTGTTGTGAAATAGTCAATTCTTTACCTTTAGGCATTATTAGAACCTTCTCGTAAGACTAGAAATTGCAGAATGCTCTCATAATGGCTAATAGCGTTAACTATAATTACTGATAACATTACTGGAACATTCTAGAATATACTTTTTCACAATTAATTGATTATTTTTTTCTAATAATTGATTTGTACGAATACGTTTTTAGTTAGAATTTTAAAAAATGCATTAATTTCTGTTAGAATAAGAATTAATTAAATTTCTTATTATTTTTTAATAGTATGTGTCTTTATACAAAAAAAAAATTCCGGCATTCGTTTTATTTAAGGCTTTTAAATTTACAAAAATACAATTTTCAAGTGTACGAATATTTATTTCCCCCACTGTATATATATATAAAAGACATATATATATATATATATATATATATATATATATATATATATATATATATATAAAAGACATTTTATGTTTATACATTTTTTATAGATACAAATATTTAAGTAAAAGGCTCTGTTTTATAATAAACAGTATTAACAACATTTACCGGCTTGAATGTTTGATTCCTGTCGGAGGACGCATATTTTCTATGAAAATTTCTCGGACATTCAGGCCGGTAAATGTTGTTAATACTGTTTATTATAAAACAGAACATTTACTTAAATATTTGAATCTATAAAAAAGAATGTATAAACATAAAAATGTCTTAAAATAATTGTCGGACTTGTCCATTTCATAATATATATATATATATAATTATTTATTTAAAAATATGATTCCAAATCGCTACATAAGAGGTCTCATGTTTCAAAACTAGAGCCAAAACTTCAATATAATCCTTTAAATTAAATTGAGTTGAAAGTAAAATGGGCTCAGAATTCCATCCTCAAGCGAAATTTTTTTTGGAATAACGTATATCTGAAATTTACTTGTTTTAAAATTGAAATCAAAATCCCCATGGTAACAGCTATGGTGAATTTTTCTAAATTGGGTAGGCAGTGTAGGGTGTTTATATTGAGTAGCGGTATAGAGATACTTTCAAGGTGTCAAGTCGGGGAAAGGTGGTGGTGTCAAAAATGAAACGGAAGATGTATTGGCCATCGTCTAGTTTGCTTGTCAATGGAGATTTATTTATTTATTTTATTTTATTATGAAAGGGAATTAAACTCAATTTAATTTAAAGGATTATATTGAAGTTTTCGGCTCTAGTTTTGAAACATGAGACCTCTTATGTAGCAATTTGGAATCATATTTTTAAATAAATAATTATATTTATGCTCTACTTTTGTATCGAGTACTATTTTTTAAAAATAATAACTAAAATACTAAGGGACTTTGGATTATTTACCTAACCAGTTCCTTCCTATTTTCTATATTTTTTCATATATATATATATATATATATATATATATATATATATATATATATAATGCGGAATAGTTAATACACTAACCTATTCAATTTCGGCAGTTAAAAAGTATGCAATAATAATAACAATAATAATAATATATATATATATATATATATATATATATATATATATATATATATATATATATATATATGTGTGTGCATGTGTGTGTGTGTGTTTGTAACTTTGCATTAGAAGACCATTTCCTCAACGGGCAGCTTTTTGTGCTTTTCATTTAGAATGTTATTATTTCCATCATTTATACCTGAGCTAACGCACTGTTATGGACCCGGAAGTGATTCTTAAGTTGAGCTTTACTTTTACAACCTCTCTTGCCCACGTGGCAGTTTTATTTGTCTGTGATGCCCATGCTGGAAATTTGGCTCCCCCTGTGTACAATCATGTTTGAGTTCCGTAACAGGCTTACAAACCTTGTCAGAAAATCCGTAAGGTCCTGCTGGTAGGGTTACATTCACAGGAGTTTGCACCTGACGTCTCTGGCGTGATCTCACATTAGCTAAATCATCTGCCGAAATGGTGACTTTTCCACAAATACTGCAATTGTGTTGGTGTCCTAATAGCTCTGGGATCGATTCTGTATATATATGTACATACATAAATACATTTATATATGAGAAATATATGTAAAAACGATACGCAAATAATGCTTATTTTCAACTGGATGCTCAGTTAGACGGTGGTCTCATAATCTTTAGTTCGAAGGACAAGATATTCAATTCTATATTTAGCTAAATTTTATAATTCATCAGTTTATTCGTTTATTATAGCGTTAACCGGATATGAATTTTAATTACATCAGGTACAAGACAACATACAGAAACATACAAGTGAAAGTTTTTACTGGGTTGAATTTTTATCAATTTTTGATTGCATTCAAATTTCTTGTTCCACAACTGAAT